ACTAGTGGCACCCAACCCTCAGGCACTGCAAAAACCCAAAGTATTCCCATGCACTTCCAAATGCTTTCAGGCAGGCAGGGCAGCAAAAACCTAGCAGAGCGTCACAACCTTATGGAAAGTGTGGCTGTAAAACTAATCCAAAGTTCCCCACCTTTCTAGGCCCACAAATGTATGAAACAAAAATACAATCGCCTTATCTGTGTTCATCACCATGGATACAGAGGTATGAAGAAGCCGTGAGGTAGCCATACACAGCAGGAGAGACAAATAATCCCATGCAATGAAAGAAATGCTATCAGACACACAAATCCAAGGGGTTGCCTGATCACACAGGGACAGTCACCAGCAGAGCCTCGAGTCAGGATTCACGAGGCAGGTGGCACTGGACCAGGAGTGGACCCAGGAGAGACAGGAAGAGCGCTCTAAGCATCAGAATTAGAGCACCGAGCTGGGGCACACGGCATTGCTGGCATGGGTGACAGGAAGGGGCCACCAGGCAGGCTAAGTGGGACAGATGGACTGCAGTGACAGGGCTTCAAAGGCTAATGACACGGAACCGTGCTCCCTCCATCACCACCATAAGCATTCACCTCTTCAGGAAAAAAAAAACAAAAACCTTACACAGTATTTGCCAACAAGATGCGATGCCTCCCTGCTCTCTAGCCTGAACTCCCCAGTGCCACAGGGGGTCAGCTGGCCACACCCTCTCCAATGAGAACACCATCCGTTCTTGTCAGCTGTAATTGGTTCAGCCTCAGGGTAGTGACCTCAGGCCCACAGTTTTCAGGCAAAGTCTTAGAAAAACAAACAAATAAAAAATAATAATAAAAATACTTTCTTGTAGCCAAAATAATGTCCAAATATCCATTCAATATCCACAATTTTAAAATGTAACAATAATCTACAAGTTTTATCACAGTTAACCTCATAGTTTCTCCTCAGTCTCGCTCAGATGTAAGACGGCGATGGAGAAGATTAGGCACGAGACCCCCCAGCTTCAAAACCTTCTACTTCCTCAAGGAAGCATATAAAATACAGTTCTCCAAGAATGACTATATCTAGTGTGAACTTTGATCAACCTTAATTTATACAGAATCTTCGTTACTCCATTTTAATTTGGGAGATAAAAGCAAATTAAAATTAAATTATATTTGTTATGCTTCTCTTCGCCTCAGGCAGGCAGAGCTTGTGCAGCCGCCTTCACCTGGCGAGGCAGGTGGCAGGTGCGGATGCAGCGAGAAGCAGAGGACCACACTGACGCACAAGGGACAGTCACAGCTAGAGGGCCCAGAGGCGGCGGCTCTGAGGGCTGGAGTGGAGAAAAGGAACTCGGACACACATGCGGGCTGCCTGGCAAGTGGGACTTTAGAAGGAAAGACGCTACCAGAGTGCCAGGCAGTTCTGCGCTTGGCATGCGCAGAGGAAGCCACGTTAAATCCCCACTTACTCTCTGTGGCTTTCGAAGGCCGATTTGTGGAGTTAAGCTGTAATATTTCTGTTGTTTTTCAATTTGATTTTGTTTTTAGATTAAATATCACATAAAGGTTAACCTTCAGATGAAAGGAAGAAGGGATTAAGAGACTAGATTACAATGAGTGTCACTAAGAAAAGTAGAAGTCACTAAGGTAGAAAATAGGATGAAAGAAAGTGTGGGTGAGGGAAACATTTTTTTTATAAAAGCAGAAGAACGTGCATTTTGGAAAACTTTCTCCCGGGACCCTATGGAAGATTATTTGAAGACAGAAAAGGGAGGAAACGGGGAAAGCTGTGGAGGAGTGTGGCGACTCTGGTGGTCATCCGCATCTGTATCACATTTCATGAATTTGAAGCATCACTTTGAGGGCCCTAAACTACCAGTCCCCATCAAACTGGAAGTTTTCACGCTGACTTCAACAACGACAGGGACCTCGCCTGGCTGGCTGGCTGCTCATGAGGGCCAAGGGGACACCAAGGAGCCTAAAGGACCCACATGGAGACGCCCGGTGAACCTGCAGAGCATGCCGTCCCGAGCCCAGCAGGACAGGAAGTGATGTCCCACCGTCCCACCACCAGCTGTGGACTTGCAGTTCACTCATTTGCGCAAGACCGCAGCTCAAGGCAGGGTGACTTACGCCACTCAGCCTCCCTTCCCAGCTCCGCATCGTCCTGCTCTGCTGTCTCATTTATGGGAAAGCATGACTCCTGGCCCCTAGTGACACACACTGCAGTGAGAAGCAAGGTACTGTTCTTTCTGTTAATTCTGATTAATCAAGTTCGTTGCACACAGGCTTAAAAGCTGGGTGTGCTTGGGCCTCCTACACCTGTGTTGGAATGGGAAAGGATGGCAGGGCAGCAGAAAGGAGGAGACCTGGCCTGAGTCCTCCTGCTTCAGGCTGTTCTCCTCATTCGCCCGCCTGCCCAAGGCCCAAGGCCCAAGACGCAGGGGAGGGCCTACTAAGTTTCTCTAAAGCAGTGATGTGAACCTGGCGGAGGTTCCAATGATGCAGCCCAACGTGGCACAGTGCCAGGGGCTTGGGATCCCCGCAGAGAGTCCCTAAGGAAGCCCAGGGCCTGATCACACCGATAATTCTCAGTTCTCCAGGCCTAGATCACTTCTGCCACGAACTCTTAGGCTATCCTGATCATATTTAAATCTGTTTCTCTCCCTACAAACATATTTTCAAACAGTTGTCCTGTTGAGGCCAGCAAGGATTTAGTGTGGGCCTCAGAACTGAGAGGCGATGGAATAGGCAGGAGCAGTGAGTTTCACGAGGCAATTAGAAAACAGAACCCAAAGAACCTGGTCACTGATAAACCACATGCAAAAGGTAAAAGAAATGAGGACAAAGGAATCCAGCCAAATCCAAATTTTCTAGCTTGAGAAACTGAGTGGAAGTCAACGCAGTTGGAGCATGATGGTTCCTGTTCAGTTCCAGAAATAGTAATTGTAATTGCTACAGGACTGTCACACTGAAGTGTCCAGTATGAGGCGGGCACTTCAAAATCTGATCTTAAAAGAAGCCAACGGGGCTGGGGAGATAGCTCAGTAAAATAAGCAGTTGCCTGGCAAGTGCAAGGGCCTGAGTTC